TATATATGTATATATAAATATAAAAAAAAGACTACCTGGTGTACTGCTTAGTCTCTTTTCTGTATAAATGTTCATTTTTCCACTGCATTAGTATAGATGAAATAGTACAAGTTTGTCAAGTACCATAGCTTAAGCTATGCTTCAGAAATGTTTTGGTATTTGTGCATAGAAACACTCCTTGGTGATGAACAGTTTTGTTGATACGTTTTTGTTAAATGTAAACCTATATATTAATCTTCCTACAAAGTAGTATGAAATAATATGCTGAATATTTATAACTGCTTTCTATATACTGTGCAAGAGAATGAACAATGTACAGCATCTTTCTGCTGGTTGTAAATCCGTTTAAAAAAATCAGTATTTCAAAATGCTTACTGTAAATTAATAACTTTCTTTATACTTTGATTCTTGATGAGACAGTTAATGGAGGAAAGAAACTAGTTAAATACTTTAGGTACTTAGATGAGTGCAAAGTGTGGGAAATTGCATGAAACTATCTTGGCTTTTTGTTGTTAATGGGACAGTTTAGAGTTCCATGTGCTGCATGGGTGAAAGACTAAAGTTTGGCTCAAGAGGCTTAGAAAGAAGATTAAGCCAGGGTGAAGAGGGATGTAACTCAAGTCAATAAAATTGCATGCTTGCTTACATTGGACCTGGATGGTTGTGGTCTTCTGTTTGTTCTGTTTCTGGCCATGAGAAATGTATTGTCATGAAATAGGACCAGTTGATTTTGAAGCTGTGATATGTTGGTATCCAGGACCACAGCTGTTAAACGAATAGAGAGACAAATCCTGGTTGATCATAGCATTTTTAAAATTTCCATTGGAAGCATGAGGAGGATTGTGGCATAGTTGCAACTGTACGCAGTATTTTGCTGGAGTTTGCACACACAAGAATTGCTACTGCCGTACCTGTTTTGAGAAGACTGGCTTCTATTAAAAAGGGAGTTTAGAGGCTCTGGGAAAGTAGGAATGATGCTGGAGGTAGGGGGAAATAGTTGCTTCTCTTCCTGCAGGCTGTCAGACTGAGGGATAGCAGAAGTATGAATTTACTGTTCTGTGCCAAGCAGAGAAATGAGAGAGTTTTAAACTTTTCAAGCATAGGGTAGAAATGCAGTATGAATAGGCTTGTTTCGTTTTCACTCCTGAGATCTGTCACAAGTGTAATTTGGTTATCTACTAAATTTTTCTTGCTGCCCTGAAGCAGGTGGGTCTCTGATCTATGAAATTATTTTCTTCTCAGGATTGCTTTTTCTGAGTTGTTGTAGAAACTTTTGGTTTTTTTTTTTTTCTTTTTTTAATGCAAAAAAAGCACTTCTGAATGTACTTAACCCTTTTGAAAGACTAGTAAAACTTGCTTGTGTGAGCAAGGAAGAAGTTCAAGGAAGTGACAGGTTGCTGAGCGAAGAATCCAAATGGAGGATTTATGGATAAAAGAGAGAGAAAATAATTAAGTTTAAGATCATGACAGAGATTGAATATAGCAGAAAAAGAAGTAGCAAAGAATTATTTCAGTTTTTAGAAGGTAGAAAATCAAGTAGCATGTCATGTCAGTATCAGTTGTGGGTTTTCCTGTATATGTCACTTTATATTCAGTTCAACTTCTAATGCTTTTTAATCTAACAAGCTAAAAAAAGAATTCTAAGTGTGGAATCTAAATTCTAAATTTGCTTAACTGTAGTGGCTCAACTCTTCATTTATGGCATTTTCAGTCCTTTTAAATGTAATGAGTTACCTAAATTTACTTTGCAGTGATAAGAATTTTCTAAACCTGTTTTAAAGTCTGTACACCCTTGATCATGAGTATCTGCCAACACAGCAGTGGCACGCTATCTGCTGGTTCTGCCCAAGCTTCCCAGAAAGTTTCTTTCTCTTCTCTCAGCTGAAGAGACGGCAGAGGGGTTTCTTTGCCACTTCAAATCCAGCAATTCGATTCTAACAAACAAAGCATGGTGTTGGACTTCACACTTCAGTGGAGTCCTTACCCCCAAAAAAGGGAAACCAAGCCCTCTGAATGTCTCCCCCCCCTCCCCGCATATAAGTGCTTTTTAAAATGCAGGAAAAAAGCTGTGGAGGGTGTGATTTGCAGAGGTGCTGGTTGATTACGGTATCTAATCATCATGCAACGCCTGCTGATGGTCTGTTTGGGAGCAGAAATGTTGTATGGATCCTTCTGAGCATAAGAACTCAGTTTGGGAGGCAAGAGGAGTTTCTGAACACAGACATGGGCTGCTCTGTTAGTTGGCCTCTGTGCCCAAAAGGGTTGTCGTGCACGTGTAATCAATCTGCTAGCATAGATATAGCCTAAGCTCGTCACTGTTTCCTGTCTCTGTTCATAAAACCAACCTCCTCTTTGTTCTGGTTGGCTTTCAAATGGCAAAGTGTAATGAATTTCTCCAGGACTGGGGAGATTCATCTTTTTAGACACTGCTTCAGGAAGCAGTGGCTGGAAATCTGCTTTACTTGTCATTGGCTCTGTGTACATTGTGATGGCACATCTTATTCTAGAATATTCTTCCATAAAAGTAAGCCTTTTTTTGATCTGATAGTTTTATTCATCTTCTTCAGTATTTTTTTCCACTAGGTGTTTTCCGTGGCTATGTATGTTCCTTGAACTTGACTTGAATATTTCATTTTTTTTATTGATACTAATTTTAAAATTAATTCTTAACTGCTACTTTTTTGTCCTCAGGAAAGATTTCATAATATACCGGGAACCAAATGCTTCTCCTTCACATGTAACTGAAAATGGCTTTTCTGATAAGGTAAAAAAGAAAAAAAAGATGGCTATTGTGAAAGGCTGAATTAACGCCATATAAACAGCAAATAATTTTGTGAGTTTTATTATGCAACACAGTGAAATCTTCTGAGAATTTTAACTATTTTTGTACATGTTTAAGGCTTCTGTTGATACATGTAGCACTTCTTTTAAATGGATATTTGGGATGTATCTTTCTAGTAATGTAAAATTCTGTAAAAATCAGTTTACAAGTGCTAACTCGCATAGCTACCTCTGTTTTAAAGGTGTTTTTGACTTTTGGACAAATTTTAAAGGACATCCACTAAACATTTTGATTGTTTTATTGATATTTTGAGATCCTGAGAGATAACAAAGTGTGTTGGCACATAAGGTAGAATTTAAAAGATAGTGCTCAGATGAAAAATCAAGTGAGATGCAAATCTTAAAATATCTGTGTGGTTTTTTAATAGGTATTGCTGTGCTTCTCAAATGGAAACCACTATGATATTGTTTATCCTATAGAGTATTCAGAAAAGGCTGCTCTGTGCCAGTGTAAGTATTATGCTGGTTAGTTAAAAGCATGTATTTTTACCAAAAATCTTAAAATGGTCACTCTTAGGTTTCAGGAAAAGCACTGTGTTGAAAGCTCGTTTTTTTTAGTAGCGTAGTTTTCCATTTGAATTGTCAATGACTGTATGGTTTTGCAAGAGCATGAATTCTTTCTGTGTCTTGATTCTTGACAAAGTAGATTATACGCCAAGAGGAGAATACTTACCTGCCTCTTTGAATCTGGCTGGTCTGATGTAAACAGAAAATGTCAATGTACCAATTTATGATCTGTTGCATTTTCTTTGGTCAACATTCTGGTGTTAATTTTGTATTTTAGACTATGTTAGCAAACTGATTGTTTATGTTAGAATTTGCATGTGTAACTTGTCACAGAAATTACAGGGGTTGCATGTGAAAAAAATAACTGTCTTCATGGATTATTGTTTTCTTTAGTAGATTGCAGAATGCCCAAAGGTCTAATCAGGTTTGGTGGGTCACTGTGACAGTCCCTATAAGGATTCTAATTCTTCATGCAAGCTCTGCCTATGTGCAGCGTTACATGGCGGAGGCCAAATTTGACGTGATTTCTAGTGGTTACATGTATACCCATAGTAGCTGCAGCTGGTTCTGCTTCTAATACCTTCACAGTTTGTTAAGACGTCAAAATGCTTGTTTGCTTTGATTGAACTAATTTGAAATGCATCTGTAATGGTATTATAAAATCTCATTTGCCTTGTAATTGATTTTGCCCTTCCACTTCCTCTTCCCCAGCTCTGCTATATGAGTTGCTTTATGAGAAAGTATTTGATACAGATGTAAAGAAAATTATAGCAGAACTTAGTGCTGTTGGTGTGACAGAGGAAAGTAACGGTAGCAGTGAAGTATCTGCTTCAGATTCAGAAGATGACAGCTACAGGTAAATGGGATTTAAAAGTTAATGTAAGGTGCCTGTAAGCAATACATGTTAAATGAGTTTTCTGAATTTCTGGTGGATAGTAGAATCTAACACTTAGGGTTGAAAAACCCTTACAAAGAAACACAAAGTGACAAAGTTAGTACTACGAAAGAATGAAATGTATCATCTTTCCTGTACCAAAGGACAGGTTTCTGGTTCCTCTGTTTATCCTGTAGTCTAGCTTCAGGTCTCTTTACATAATGGAATATTGCCGTTGCAGCATGTCCTTTTTCCTATTTAAAGAGCAGAATCCCCTGAGAGAACTGTCTGTGTGCCAGTATGGCATGGTAAACTCCATGAAAGTTACTTGGATAGCTTTTGCAACTGAGTAGAGCTACAGGAGTCTACTCCGGCTTGTGTTACTTCCACATCTAGGGGCTGAAATGCCTGCTTCAGATGTATCTAATGGAGAAATACAGATGTAGCTTGCTCCATTTTGTTCTTTGATCTTTATGAAGTGATTCTATTTGTGGGTTTGTATTTTTTTTGCTGGGTGCTTTAGCTAGCTTTGAGATTTTGACATACTGATTCCTTTTGTACAGTAAGTCTTTCACAGTGCCATTTTTGCCTTTACATGGTGGCAGTTTTTCTTCTGTGTAATACTGTTCTGAAAGCCCTGGCTGTGAGAAATTCCACTGAAGCCATGGAGATCATGCTGTATTAGTGCATCATGTCCCCTCTTCCCACTGGATGTCATTAAAGTCCTTTTTGGGGACTCTGCTGTAGTCTATGTGGCATGTGGCAGAAGAAATACTTTGAGATGTTGGAAGCTGATTGTTTTGATTTTTTTCCCTTAAGCTGAAAACAACGGAAAGGAAGACAATGTAAATCACAGAAGGAAAACCAAGTTCTGGGAAAAGGATTAGCTTCCTTTCTTGTGTGATAAAAAAAAAACAACTAGGGAACATTGCCAATTAAAATACAAAGTATTTCTGCCTTGGGGAACAATGATTGTGGTTAAATGTCAGACAGTGGAAACCTTCTTCATTCCTTTGTGTTCTTGGAGCTTTCCTGGGCTTCATATGCAGTAGCATTATCCTGTATCTTTGGGATTCATAAGAAAATAAACTGCTAACCTCCATAGCACCTTTGTAAGTGAAAGTCATAAACTCACTTGAGACTACCAACTCAACGTTTTTTATTTAAACCATATGTCTTATGATGCAAGAGCTAGTGTGGGTGACTCTTGACCTAGTTAACACGAATTACAAACACTTTGCTGTGTTTATGAAGTCTTAATTTTCCTGCTTGTCTTAAAGTTGACTTCAGCTTGTTTCATTACCTAGTTTTCCAGAAGGTCTTTTGAATTTTATAAATGTAAAATTTTCAGTTATGTTTTTATTAAATGCAATAGTTTGTTTTGGTTTTGGGAGACGTTAATGCTGATGTAGGGAAAAATACTTGGGTCTTCTCTGTGGAAGGTGATTTTTCCAGTGATGTCAGGTGCAGAAAATAAGAGTAAATTAGAGTGTCTGATGCCAGTTCACTAACAGAGTGCTTTTTGTTTTTGATCTTTTTAAATGTCTGCTTGTGCTGTGTTTTCATTACATAATTGCAGAATTTTTAGAGGAATTTTTTGTTTCCCTTGCCTGCTCCCTTCACCCCTTTTTATATTTAAGTGATGGCTAAGTCAGTACACATAAATTAGACATCCTAAAACTTATTCTTAAAACCAAAAGTATTAGTTTTAGCTTTATGTGATACAGAAATGTAGTTCTTTGTTTTAGACAGCTTTTTCATTTTAAAAGATGTTCCATGGCATGCTTATTGTGGAAAAACTACATTGAGAGTGGTAATAACAGTATTTTTATCCACTTCCAAGATGTTTCTTACCTGATTTTCAGGCGTTATTAATACTGTATTATCACAGTTTGCTTCTGTCCTTTTGCAGAAGTAAAGCTACAACAGTTAGTGATATGAATGGATTGAAATCTCTTTCTGACAACAAGGTATTTATATGTTAAGCTTTTTTTCTTCCTAATAACTTGTACTTTGGTAAATTTTTTCAGCATTCAAGGTTTCTGAGAGAATCTTTTGTTTCTAGTTTTTCTAATATGTAGTATCTTAAGAAACTAATTACTACTTTGAAAAATAATGTTTGCTTTTCATGTGCCAAAAGATGGAAAATGTCCTTTCTAAGGCTGCTTAGTTCTTAATTTTGTTCTGGTATAGTTAAAAGAAAAAGCATTGAAAAGATAATTCAGTGATGTTATGCTTTGTGTATTTTTAACTTCTTTATATTTTAGTATAAAGCCTGAGCACTGTGACTGAAAAATGGAGAATCATTACATCATTATATAGTTGACCATTTAGCACTTTGTTCTGTTTCATACAGCACCTTAAGAGCAATGGGAATCCTACCTTGTTGGTCTTACCTAAAAAAGTTCTTAAAGCACTCAATCCATCAGTTTACAGAAATGTTGAATATGATGTTTGGCTCCAATCCAAATGGGGTAAGTAACCAATTACTTAAAAGTTCCAGCTTTTGCAAGCTGTTGTATAAAGCGAGCCCTCTTGAAGAATGGTGATGCAAATGGCAGTCTGGGTTACGCAGTGGTCTTTCTCACATGGGTCAGTGTGCAGGTTTAGGGGCTGAACTTGTGGTTTGCACTTTTACTGCATCAAGAAAGTAACTCTTATAGTGTATTTAAACTAACAGTATGTTATTGATAATGTATTTACAGATCAGCAGAAACAAGATTTTTCTATTGCCGCTGGCATGCAATACTCAGTTGGAGATAAATGTAAAGTAAGTAATAGTTGCATTATAGTTTATAGACATTAACATTTTGCTGAAGATGCCAATTTTCCCTCCTTGTTAACTGGTTTGATATATATGCATATATAATTGCTGCTTTCTAAATATTCTTCTGTCTTCAACTGAGTGTATGCTTGTTATTTAATTGTTGGCAGTATTCATGGCTAACAGCATACATATAGAAAAGGCAGGTGATAGAACATATGATCAGTGCCAATTTACTGGATTAAAAAGTCACAAGGTTAACTTCAGGAGTATATTTGGTGAAATTACAGAGGACCTTAATGTAACTAAGAAGGTAAGTTTGTGCAGGCTTCCCTCTGTGGTGAGTCCTTGCTTCTTAGCATTGTAGAATGCTAGCCTCTTGTGTGAGAAGTCAGTGTGTTTAGGGCAGTTCACTCAGTTCAGGCTAAGCTCTGTTTTTCTCTTGGTGGGCTCCAAAAGCCAGCTAGTTATTCCTGTAGTGTGCAAAAGTGTGTGGTTGGTCTGTTTTATAAAACTAACTGTTACCTCCCCTACATCTTTTGCTGATGGCTGCACTTGCTTTCTCATACTGCTGCATGGTGAAGTGTTTGCATGCAGACAGTTGCATGGTGAAGAACAAAATTGTAGTGTTTTCTGTCATACGGGGTTTTCTTTGGAGAGACCAAAACCAACATCATAGTTCCATGTATTCATCTTCATTTCTGGAGATAATGATTACTGTTTGTAAATTGGCTTTGTTCTAAACTCATAACTTTCACGTAATGGAATACAGCTTGCTTTAGCTACTGCTGATCCTGAAGTTTGGAGTGATTCTTCCTCTTGAATTATTCAAAGTGTGTTACACAATTGCTCTTTAAACTCTATTAAAATTTGCAGTATGCATTGCTGCTTAGGAAGAAATAAGATTTGCCATTAAATTTTATAGTGCTCAAATTTTACATTAATCTCCTTAGGTGTGTTAAGTAAACTGCTAGTGCTTGGCTAAATATGGTTCTTTCTAGGATGCTTGATCATCTGTTAAAGGTTATTCACCTGAAGGTGAAACCAGAAATCAGTTTTGCTATGCAGTATGGTGGCTCTTTCTTTGTACTTTTTAAAAATGTGTGTAATGGAATTAAGCATAGTGAATAAATTCAGGAAAAATGCATCTCTGAACTTCAGCACCCCTCCTCCACCCAGACCCTGACCCAAAATCAAAACAACAAAAAAAAACCCAACCCAAAACCACAAACCCCCAAAACTTGACACAAAACAAACTAAAAACCTGGTGTGGAGTTGATTATTTATTGCTTAATAGTAAAGGCTTAAAATTTGTATTTAAAACCCTAGGGCTGTTTTGTGTAGTATTTACTAAAGGGTACAGGTATTATTAGTAGAAAGATCTCTGGTAGTTAACATACTCTGTCAAATTTTATATGTACATAGTGAGTCAGTGAATATATGGCATAAAAACATGAGATGGAAAGATGAAGTAAATACTGAAAAGTGGAATTGACCAAATTAATACAATTGGAAAGCCAAATGTTGTAGCAGAACATTATGAAATTTATATGTAGCAGAAGACTTTTAAGAATGTGGGATGTCAGACAAGTAACACTGTGATCATGTCTAAACAACTTTTTTTGGTTGTTTTTAAAAAAGCTTCCAGAGGAATAACTTCAGAAATAATTGGTTTTCATTATGATCTTAACTACACTAAATTTCACTGAAGTTAGTAATGAATTTTTCTGTCTTTTACGTGGATTTCAACAGGAAAAGGCTTTGGATTTTATTCGAAGAGAAAGTGTTTTCAGTGAAATGGAAAAGCCTTGATACACTGGTTACTTCTTTCTCATGTGGTTTTGAAAGCATGTTTCATTACGTCATGTTACCAGGCAAACTTTCTGTGGTGTATGTGGTTTTTTTGGTTTTGTTTTAATATTTTTATTTCCTTTTGAAGAACTGATATGGATTGAAGGTTTGCTTTTGATGCATTTACTGAGTTATGTGATATTTATTTCTCAGGTCTTCTATTGCCCAAAGGAAAAGTTCTATTTTTAACATTGCAGGTATTTTAAAGAGTCAACATTCTCTTATTAGCTTCTTTGAAGCTAATGCACCTGTTTTTTCTTACTCTTTTTCTTATAGGTGCGCTTAGAACATAATGGGAAATTTTATAATGCCCATATTCAAGAAGTTTGTTCAGAGAATGGGCCAGTTGTTGTATTTGTAGAAGAGCTAGGAGCAAAGTAAGTGCTTGATTTCTTTGGAATTCAAAGTTAATTTCAGCCTGTGAAGTGCATCTGCTTCTTTACTTGAAGGAATACTACCATGAAATTGTGAAGAAAACAACATGCTAAAGAAAAAGGGGTTCTGCACTGATTGTCACTTCAGGCTTTTTTTTCTTTAGTGCTAAGCAGTCTGGATAACACCTGCTGAGTAACATAACAACTACATTAGTACTCAGGGTTTTTTATGTTTTTGCACAAGATCCAGTCCTAAACAGATTGATACCATGGTAATTAAGTGTTGCTTGTGGTGCTTATTAATTAGATCCTATATTTGTGACAAGCTTTTGATATTAAAGGTCTATCAAAGCACCTAGCTTCTCCGTTGGTTGAGTAGCTCTGCCTGATTTCATACATAGTGCCAAGCTGCTGTTTAGATCAGCATCATCTTTGCCCTACCTTGGGACAAAGCAAGTGTTTAAAGTTGGTGGAGACTGCAGTGTGGTTTTGTGTGGTGGTGGTTGGCTGTGTTTTTTTTTTTTGTTTTTTTGTTTTTTTGTTTTTTTGTGGTTGTTTTGGGGTAGGGGTTTTCTTTTTGTATTTTTGGGGGGGCGGGGGGGTGGCACGTGGTTTGACACGTCTCACGCTCTACTGTAAGTTCTGTAACACTTCTGGGACAAAAACAACCCACCCCTGACCGTAGTTTGAGAAGAGGAAGTGCTATCAGTCAAGGTAAATGAGGGAGGGTGAAAGGTGTCCATTAATCTGATGTGATCTCCTGTTATAAAAAACTAAAATGTTGTGAGATCTGAAGATTGTCTCACAGTTTGTTTCCTTTGTAAGTGGAGATTTAACCTGATTTGACCTATTACGGATTTGAATGTCTTCCCTTCAAATAATGTAAACAGTTACTTGGACATCCTACAGCATTCTCAATTAAAAGCGCAGTAACTGTTTTGGCATATAAACCACCAGCATAATGTTTTTCAGTCTTGACATCTGTTGCAGTTTTGTGATAACTTCAGCTGAGTATATCGCTTTTTCTGATCGTTATCCTTTTCGGTCTGCCCTGAAGACATAATACTCACTTCACAACTGGCTGATCATTCTTTAAGTTTGCATCAGCATATTGGGAGTTTTAAATAAATAAAGTCCAACCAAAAAAACCAAACAAAAAAAACCCACCCCAACAAAACACGACCCAACTAAAAATGAAGGTTTGTTCTATATACGTTGCTTGAGTGTAATCATGAAGAACAAAGGGCTTTGAATGTAGCATTCTCAAAAAATGGAAAGATGCATCAGTCTTAGTAAACATGTGGTATTAATTTGTGCAAGCCCCAGTCTGGTCTTTTAAGATATTTTTCCCTCCATAATTCCTTGTTTTTTAGGCATGCTGTCTCACTGAAGAGCCTTAAACCTCTTCCACAGACCTCTCCTATGGAGGGCTGGAACACTGTGCCAGGGAAGAAGATAAAAAAGTTTTTCCCAACATGGGGGCCGAATGCTCAGCCCGGTAGGATTGTACCTGTCTTTGTGTGGCAGAATCTTTGTTGTTAGCTGGTTTGTCCTAGAGAGCTTAAAAAAAGATTAAAAAAATACATCTGTTTTCATGTCTTTATCATAGATGCAGATTGCAGAGGGCCAAAGAACCAGAGCAAGTCAATAAAACCCCAGTCAGCACTACCTCCTCGACTTCAGCATGCTGTGGGAACCAGGCAGCATCAGTTCTTATGTTCTGGACCCCAGCCTCATCAGACCTCAACTGAACAAAAAGCTCCAGGCAGGAATCCTTCCCAAACTGTAAGGTAGAGCTGCGATTAGCATCTTTCTTATCTTGAACTCCAGCTGCCTGCTTTGGATGCTCTTTTGAATTATGTTGCTATTGAATTCTTAAGAAGTGTTCCAAATCCTTAAGATTAGGTACAAGCACAGGAAAAAATAATTTTTTTTTTTTTTAAATTTTTAATTTTTTTTAAATTGCTGCCATCATGAGCTCCCGCTTTTTTTTTTGTGTACAGCAGCATCTCCCCTGGAAGCACCATACACAAAACTGCAGTTCCTTCTTGGAAAGGGGGTATTTTATTTTCTGTTTGTGGCTGAGGTAGTGTTACATGTAGCACCTAGGCATGGCTAGTATATTCCTCCAGCTGAGCGACCTGATCTAGTGGCAGCAGGGCTGGATGGTCTTAAGGTCCCTTCCAACACAAACCATTCTATGGTTCTGGGATTCGTTTGCTATCAAGTCTTTCAAAATTGTACTGAAGTGAACAGATCATGAATAAAATGAATTCTTCAAATTTTATGTGTATGGATAACTTGTAGTAGGCAGAAAGAGATCTGGTATATGTGGTATCACGCAAGCAGTGCTCTAACTACCACCTTTCTTCCTTCTAAACCCTGAGTTTGTGTTGTGTTTGATACTGGTGAATTTCTTTTTCAAAGTGATCCAGTTTTTTTTGGGGGGGTTTTTCCCCCCTCCCCTTTACAGAAAACCAGAGCGGGAGAGAACCGAGGATCTGAACCACGGCAGCAGAGATTGTAACTACTTTGGCCTGTCTCCAGAGGAGCGCAGGGAGAAACAGGCTATAGAAGAATCCCGTTCACTTTATGAGATCCAGCAGAGGGATGAACAAGCTTTTCCTGCTCTTTCCAATGTATGCTTTTTTGCATCATTATCAGTAGTGCATTTGTTGTATTTGTCCGTGAACCTTTAATTCGCAGTTGTTGTTTTGCTGTCCTTGCATTGCAGTACAAAACAAAAGTTAAGAATGTTTTCATCACACTCAGTTCCTACATATAAATATGTGACTCTACAATGCTTTATGTATTCAAGATAAGACACATACGTAGTAGTATCCCATGGGAATAGTTAATGTCCACCATACACAGTTCTTTAGGCATGTAAATACGGTAGACATGTGAGATTCTGAAGCTGTGAGCTTCTTTCTTTGCGTTCCTCCCGTCTTTGGAAGGCGTTTTGCACTCACAGTTACTCAGATGTCTTGTATACTGGGATCAAGCTTCTAGGTGAGGACAGAACATGCTCTGAAGTACAGTTTAATTTAGCTGAGAAATAGCTCAGTAAAATGGCACTGTGGTGTGTGAATTAGTATCAGAGATGAGCGGGTGATTGTTTCTGATTTGGTACATATAAAACCTGTTTTATTTATAAGCGACTTTTTCTTTTTAGCCTGAGAACTTACTGTTGTCGTAAGTAGTACAAATTCTTTGTCAGACCTGCTCTTTTCCTATTGTGGAGCTGAGCTGGCTTCAGTGGACTTGTCTGTGTCTGAGGGAAGAATGTAGCCTTTAGATTTTGAGAGCTAAGTGATGCAATTTTGAAAGACTGTGGAGCGGAGTCTCACTATATCCAGGAAGTAAGCACATCCTGTGTGTAAAGAGCTGCTGTCTACATAGGGTTATTCTAGAGGCATGTGAGGCTTTTTGGATTTAAATCCTAGGATGAACAGGAACAAGAACCAGATGGGGAAGAATTGAGGAGGTGAAAAATGGGCCTTAAATCTCTTGCTTTGTGGAAGTGACTTCTACTGTACCTTTCAGTTCTTAGGCAGTAATTACTTCTGTTGGTGTAATCAAGAAGAAACATACAGCTCTTCTGTGCTGCAAAGAGCAGGTTAAGACTGAAGCCTAATGGAGAGAGGTTGCTCCCTCTCTCTGAGCTGTGGTTGACAGTGTGCTCGCTGTATTTGCTCACCTGCAGGAGGAGGACATGATTTAAAAGTAGATAATGTCTGAGCAAAGCAGTTTTTAGTTGCCACGCAAACTAATGATACGAATGCTTTTAAAGGACACTGCAAAATTTAGCAATGAGTGAAAGAGTGGCTGACTCTGAATCAAGATTGATCAAGACTGCTCCCCCCCACTTCTGCCTATCACAGTGCTAAGAATGTGTCATGAAGGCGTAATAATATATCAGATGATGTCAAAGTGTCATCAGACTTCTTGCATAAATTAATATTCTGCTTTTGTAAACTTCTTTAGAATCAGTCAGTCTGTCAGGCTGCTACACAGACTGTGGATAACTTAAACCAGAAAAAGTTCTCAAGTAATGAGAGAAGAAACAGCAAGTGGTCACCAGAGGTGGAAGAGCAGAAGGATAAAGGTAAAAATAGATGGGTTTAGGTCAAGCTTTTTTTTTTTTTTTTTTGGTTGCTTGTTTTTATTACCAGCATCAGAATTTATTCAAGATGGGGCATCTATTTAGGCACTGAGGGGAAAATTATCTTAAGTAATAGTGCCAAACTAAGCTAGGCTCAAGGTAGCAAAGGTGTGGTTTGGGAAGAAAGTGCATGTTTTCCTACTTTGTGAATGGGGCAGAGAGAGCAGGCTCCTTGCTGGGATTTTGTAGTAAATGGGAAGAGGAATGTGAGAAACAAAAGTACTGTCAGAGCCTATGCTACATTACATCCTGTTGAAATCAGAGCGACTGTGTCAGAAAGTGCCAGAGGGAGGAGTATTAAGAGTGCTTGCTGGAGTCATTTAAGAAAGAAGCAGGTAGAAGTATTCAGTGTGGCATGGTTAAGAGTTAGCAGACAGTGGTAAAGAGGGAAGAAAGTGGTTTACAGAAGAGTTGAACACACACCCCTCCATATACAGTACAAAGAGCTGTCACATGGTCAAAATTTGTTTGGGCTTTCTCCCTCTGCCCAACCTGTTACAATGCTCTTCGTTTTCATCGGATAAGCTTTCCTTTTCTGTGAGGAAGTGGAACATAGCGGACACTGAATTTGTTCTTGGCTTCTTCCACTTTCTTTGTTTTTCCTGAGTAGAAACTCTCTAGCCTTCTCTTAGAAGCTGTTCCTTCCCTTCATTTTTTAAATACATTCTTTTTTTGTTCCCTTATCTTTGGCAACAGCAGAGGCATTGCTGTTGTGTATTTATGGTACTTGTGCCCACAGTCCCTCTTTCAACACGTAATGCCGCCCTGAATGGTCTCACAAGGACTGACACTGCCTATTTTTCATTCTCCAAACATCTGAAAACCAGTTTCATTTGAAAACTGGTTTAATCAGCAATGCCATAAGGAATGCTCACATGGAGAAGGCTCTCTCCTAGAGTGCCATGAGAGATTTTGCTGCAGTGCATGCCATGTACAGCTTTTTCTGTGTGTTTTGTGATGCCCTGGGTTGTGTTGCCTCTTCTGAAACTAGGCTAAAAAATCCTATGGGAATAAACTGCGCTTCCTTCTGAGTATTTAGAGATTCCTATTGGTGCTTGGGGAATTGGCAGTAATTCTCATAATCAACATTGTTTTAATTTACATTGTTGTCTAGCTGCAATGGTGTATATACTAAGCTTTTTAAAAGTACATGTCTATTTAGCAGCTACTATTAAACTTACGTGCATGAATTTGATTGACAAGCAGTTAAGTAACCAGATTTGAACATAAACTAGACTGTGAAGAACCTGTACAGATTTTAATGTATGAAGATTATGCCGTGACTGTTTTTCAGCACCGCGTTCCCCACCAAGTGTTTGCTGGTGCTCAAGAAATCCAACTTTCTGCATCAGTTCAGAAACTTCCTAGATGTTTTGAACTACTGAAACCTTGTAAATTTATCTTTTACTCAGCCAAAACTAGATGAGACTTTAAGCTTCCGTTATCTTGAATATGGAAAACATTTTCACTTCAAGCAAAGTACAAACTTACTGCTTTTTCACTAGGAGGGATTTGGAACGAATGATGTGTGTTTTAAAGAGAAAGCTGCATATTTTCATGCTTCCCTCAGGCATCACCAAAATGGTTAATAAATACCAGTAAATAATTCCTGTAGAGCTTTGAAAACCCAGGTTGAAGTAGCTGCTCTGTTACTGCCCTAACAATTGTTTATTTTAGGATGCTTTGATCTTTCGTAAAAATTGAAATTTAAGTTTTCTGAGGTAGTATGTGCCGAGGTAGGTTTCGTTTTGAAGGTTTAACTTGGGAAAGACAAACTTTAACTGGCTTAAGTTGTGATAGGCATAAATGGTGTAATGGTTCATTTACTAGGTTATGTCTTGGTGTTACAGAGTCAAATTCCAGGCAGATCCACTTAAGTCAGAAGCTTGAGCCAAATTCATCTGAGGTAATCTTAAAGAAAAGACCAAATTTTTGTTTAATGTTATTGCTTCTCTGATACATGATTAGCAGAGCAATAGCTGCCTTTAGAGCTGTGATTGCTGCTGCTGCTTTACAGCTTTTAGTGAAATACTTCTAAGGTTGGAGGCTTGTATTGCTGTTGGCTTTCTTCAGCCCCTGTAACCTATACTTACAGTCTTTCTGAAATCTGAGTTCTTAAATCTGGGCTATCGAGAGCATTTACCAATCTGGATTTGTAATTGCTTAGTACAGTCTGTACTTTGACTATAATGGGACCACAGAAGATTTGATGTTTACTAATAGCTTCTGTGTTAACAGACCGTGATTGCTGAAGTTCAGTGAAGATTTGTGGCCTCTTGTTGGCTTTTAACCTTTACTGTTCTTTCAATGAGCAAAATGTTACATTAGTGCAATAGTGATTGGGTGTTTAGCCCACATTGTATGTACTGTGGTTTAATACCTTTCAATGCCTCTTTGAAAAGTAAATTCTACCATTAGACTAGCTGTGTTTGTTGTTTCTAACTTTGCTTTAGAAGAATAGTCAAGATGAGAGTTATCCAAAAGATTCATCTCCTTTGGAACAAGTAAAAACAGATTCTCCGGTTCTTGCTGAGCAAGTAAGAAATGTTTGTTTGATTTCAAAGTTTTCCAGTCAGGAGGCTTCAGACAAAGGGGAGCTTCATCATAGCCACGTATGTATTCTAATACTGGCTTTTAATTACGTGGTAATTTCTATGGTGATAAATGCTAGAATTACAGTTAGGGAATCTGTTATGTCCAACATACAATGTAAAAGAACAATCCTTGATAGAAAAGTGAAAGTATATCTTTTTCTCTTCTGAGGGAGGGGTGGTTTTCTACCTTTCGGCTAAGATAACCGTGCTTTTCAATTTAAACTCTTCACCTTTGCCTTTTCAGATTTCTCCAAGCTTATTGGTAATTGTATGTGAGGGTGGCTTTGCTTTTGGATGGGAAATACTTAGATTTAATGCTTGTGGAGGTGTGACAGCACTGATGGCTGGCTGTGGTACAGGCGTGTTCTGGGTAGAGCTCAGTGCAGAGTTCCTCACACAGTGATGTAGTGGATCTCAGATCTCTTACATACACAGCCTGATATGTTACTAGTTAATATTTTGCTGTGGTGATGGTGGTAGTCTGAATAATACTGAGCCATCAAGCCCTTTTTGGTAGAACTCAGACACATTAGGGCTCATCAACAGTGGTGATTTGAAATAATTTAAAGTGATCTCTTTGTTCTTACAGAACGTGACAGAATGCTTACCGAGCGTAACTCCAACACCCTCACCAGTCTTCTCTGAGGTGCATTTACCTCCAGCAGTGCCTTCTGTACCAGCCATTGTGCCAGCTTGGCCAAGTGAGCCAGCAACCTATGGACCAGCAGGTTTGGAGAAATATTAACATAAATCAGAAATTACTAACGCTGAAAAATACTTCAACTGTTTTGCGAAATTGAAGCTACCTCCAGGAGGCACTGTTTTGTGTAACTTCACATCCCAAAGGCAGTCATTTGTGGTAATACAGTTTCTCACTGCTGAAAGCTCGTTATAGTTCTAGTAGATCTTTGCCCGTATGTATAGTTTGCTTTACTCCCTATCTGAAGGTGAAGACGTGTGCTCAATTCTCTGTTTTAATTCTGAGTGGGGTAGCATTGAGTTTTGAGGGGGCTTATTCTGAGGATCTGCTTAAGGTAGAACATGTTGTCAGCATGTTGAAGCTTGGTATGTGTTTGTGCGCTGTGTCCCATGCAATAAGCTCTTTGACTCACTAAGGACTCAGCTTGAATCTGGTATGTCTGGAACTAATGAGATCCATTTGGACCTGAGCTGCAAAGCCAATGTAATGTTTTTTCTGTGCTGTGTGTATGTATCTTCACACGTGGAATTAGCTGTGATTCAATACTGCTCACTGTATCAGGTGCTGTATTTTCTCTCCCACTGTTCTGTTTCTGTACAAGAACTAGCTTTCAAATCAGCATAATGTATTCACACGATACAGTAGTAATCCTGTCATACCTGACCGCATCTGTGACAGAAGAGCCCAGTTAATAATGTGCTGTAAATTAGTCAGAGTTGACTGTAAATGACTAATCAGAATGAGAACTGCAGAGATTCACATAGTAAGTTTCAGTTCCCCCCTTTCTCTCCCCCCTCCTCATTTTCTTCTGGTATTTGTATTTTAAAAAGTAAGTATGGGAAGACTTCATCTGTTTCTGGACAGCTTAACTGTTTTCCTCTTTTTGAAAACTATTCTCTGCGTTTAGCCAAATCTTCTTTTGTGTGTAACTTCCTGACTCAAGAATTTCTTCCTATATCTTCCTGAGTATCTGGGGTCTGTTACCCCCTGCTGCCTTTTTCCCCCCCTTCTGTCTCTTGAAACCTGCTTTCCCACTCTAATTTTCTTTTGTGTATAGTTCAGAGTATGCATGTATGTTTTTTCCCCTTAGGTATTCCAGCCCAAATACCTGCTTCTTCATTGATGCCAGCCCCAGCAACGGGACCTGACTCTATTGTATCGCAGGCTCAGGTAACATCTGCTCCAGTTGCTGGAGTTCCAGTGTCGCTACAAGCAGTTAATCAGCCTTTAATGCCTTTGCCTCAGACTCTGAATCCTTATCAGGATCCGCTATACCCTGGATTCCCTTTTAGTGAAAAGGGAGAAAGAGCTGTTGCACCCTCTTACTCCCTGTGCAGTACTGGGGAGGACTTGCCTAAAGGTGAGAAGCTGGAAGAAGGTCTGGGTTTTATACTGGTTTTCCTGATAGATTCTTTTCTCTTAAACTGTAGATAAAGATAACTCCTTTGATCCTGTTGTTAGCCTGTGTCAAAAGATCTAATTGTTGGCATTCCGTGATTTATGGCGTGGGAGGGAATATTGAACAGAGTGGTAACCTTTTAGCCTGTGTTGCTAACGTTGCTGTTATTTCAAGTGGATATAACTGGAGATCTGATACAATCCTTTTGTGGTTCTCAGCTTGACACACCATAACTTGAAGTTTTGTAAAGGATTTTCTTTAGACAACTGCTTCCTTTTACTGTAACAAGTTTTGTCAAGTAATAAAAAGCTTGGAAGTTACTGAGCATTTCCTTAGTGGTCTGAGAAGATGCAGGTTTTGGCATACACAGATATGGACTATGCCTATAAAGAACATCTTGTGTCTGACTGCATGGGGGTGTTTGTTTACTGGACTGTTTCTTTAAAAGCTAGAAGTTCAGTTCTTCAAACTGTTAAAACTGAAATTTAAACTGCAGTTGCCTTCTAGATGTCTTGCTGGGTGGGGGCGGGGGATAGGAAACAATCCAAAAAACAAACCTAAAAATGAAAGACAGATATGGAAGCAGCAACTTAATACCAGTGTCTCTACTGAAATGGAACCTTGTGCACCTTGTGCAGGGACTAATTTTTGGATGAGATGAAGGGTACTATTTTAGGTCTTCACAGATCTGATATTTTTCTTTTTTTTTTTTCTTCCCCCTTCCCCCCCCAGATAAGAATATTCTCAGATTTTTCTTCAATCTTGGTGTGAAGGTAATTCTTGAAACTTACATTTTTGTGTTTGTTATACCATAACATTTACTTGTATTTGGTAGCACTTAGAGTGCAGAAGTTTGGTTGCTGCAGCTGCGTACTTCAAGTTTGTATTTAAATATTGTATCACAGAATAGTTTGTGTTGGAAGGGACCTTAAAGCTCATCCAGTTCCAACCCCCTGCCACAGGCGAGGAACCCTTCCACTAGGCCAGGTTGCTCCAAACCCCATCTAACCTGGCCCTGAACACTGCCAGGGATGGGGCAGCCACAGCTTCTCTGGGCACCCTGTGCCAGCGCCTCAGCACCCTCACAGGGAAGAATTTTTTCTTAATATCTAATCTAAATCTCCCCTCTGTCAGTTTAAAACCATTCCCCCTTGTCCTGTCACTACATGTCCTTGTCAAAAGCCCTTCTCCAGATTTCCTGTAGAGCTCTTTAGGCACTGGAAGCTGCTCTAAGGTGTCCCCCAGAGCCTTTTCTTCAGGCTGAACAACCCCGACTCTCTCAGCCTATCTTCATAGGATAAACTTGTGTTCTGTCTGAAGCAGTGTACAGTGAAAGGGGAAAGCCCCTGTGACCATGTCTGTGTACTGGCATAGCCATTGTAGTACAAATCCCTAGTATGTCTCAGGCTTGTTCCACGTGTCTTTGGCCATAAGGAGTGATTTTCTTTGGTGGCTGAGCATGGAAGGAGGGAATGTTCAGCACACCTGACAAAGTAAATTTAGATTTGATAACTATGTGCCTTATACAAATCTCTTTGCCAAATAGAAAATCCGTAAGTTGTTAGCAAGTATTCTGCTAGTGTTTATATCCTCAATTTACATACATTTGGAACTGGCCGTACCGGTCCGTTGTTTTATTTAGGATATAGTCTGTGATTTTGGTCCTCCAGCACCATCTACTGGTCCATGTTCTAGTAGTTGTGCTCCTCAGCTGTAACCAAACAGCGCAACAGACCTGGGAGCTACTTCCTGCATCACCCTGGTCCCTGATCCTGCCATCCACATCCTGTTATCCACATGCTTAGTTCAGGGTGGACTGACTGGTTCCTGTTGAGAGGAGGTCCAAGTGGGCTTGTCAGGATGGTTTGCTCAGGGGACTGTTTCTATAGATGGCACACATGAGACTGTGACAGACTTTGGGCTCTATCCACTCGATTGTTTCCTTGGACAGCCATGTGCCTCCAGCAGCCTTGTATGGAGTCCTGTATGGCCTGAAATACATCCATTTGTCATGTTGCATTATAAAAACATATCACAGAACCATAGAATGGTTTGGGTTGGAAGGGATCTTAAAGATCACGTAGTTCCAACCCCCTGCCATGGGCAGAGACACCTTCCACTAGACCAGGCTGCTCAAAGTAACTTCTGGTTGTTTCAGTCATTATCCTTTACAACTTTGGAAAGTGAAGGGCAAATTGCCAATTAATAGCTGTGATTCTGGAAAATGATCTTGAAGAGTGTGTCTTAAGAACACATAGCTAAAGATTGACTTGCCAGTGTCATGCGTTTAGATCAACTATACAGAAATAGTTACCCGGTTTTCATACTGGTCATACTTTTTGCCCATTTCAGTGGCATTTGGAAAGAAAATTTAAAAATAAGAACATCATCCTGGAGTCCTAAATACTTCGAATTAAGGGCAGTCATTGTAAATAAAATTAACCTTATTAACTGTTTTAAAATGGTAACTGACCTGTGTGCTATTATGTCTCTTCAAATGACCACATACGTTTTGTTTTCACTTTCCTCTGTCTTGCAGGCATACAGTTGTCCCATGTGGGCACCACATTCTTACTTGTACCCACTGCACCAGGCCTATTTAGCTGCTTGTAGAATGTACCCGAATGTGTCCCTTCCTGTGTACCCGCACAGCCCCTGGTTTCAGGAGGCACCGCCAGCTCAGAGTGAGAATGAACCTGCACGAACAAACAGGCACTTCCCTGTCCAGAGTGAGACCCGATCCAACGGCCAGATCCCGCAGGTGGATGGCAGGTCTCCATCGCTGCCTCTCATGATACCTACAGCTCAGGTGTCAGAAAGTCAAGGACAGGTCTGTGTAGAATCGGAGAATCCAGTGCAAGCTCTTCACGCAAACTATGAGGAGTCCCTGAGAGGGAAAAATGTGTTCCCACAGCCACACTTTGGACACAATCACTTTCTGGGAGCTGTTCCAATAGCACCTCCTTTCTTTCCTCACTTCTGGTATGGGTACCCAGTTCAGGGTTTCATTGAAAATTCAGTAGCAAGACCTAATGTCGTCATGTCACCTGAGGACAATGGCACCTCTGCCGGCATGTATGTGGCTAAGGAATGCAGCCCTCCGGTTCCTGGAGGAAGCTCTGCAGAACAGCTCCAGAGGACTGACAGCAGCAGCGGGTCCAACACTGTGCCATTCCCTGCTGCTGGTGCAAGGAAACTCCAGGAAACTCCGAAGGAAACTCCAGCTAGGGCACCTCAGGTGGAGCAGACTTGTCCTTCAGCTTCTGTGGCTAAGCAGAAAACAGCCGGGCAGCGAAATCGTTCCCCACAAACACCAGGGACCGAGAGGCAGCCAGCAGTGCCCAACACCCTGCCGGTCCTGGCAGAGCCACCGAAACATGAACTGAAACCCAGCGTTCCCAGTCGTAAGGAGAAGAGTGATAAAGGTAGAGAGTCCAAGGGCACTGGCAGTCAGCAGACAGAGAGCAGGGCACAGCGAACCAGGGAGGAGAGCTCTGAAGATGAGAGTGAAGTTTCTGATATGCTGCGAAGTGGGAGATCCAAGCAATTCTATAGCCAGACTTACGGAGGAGGCAGAAGGCCCAGGCTTGAGTGGGGTTACTCCAGCAGGGGAGGATACCAGTTCCAAAGAAACGAGGAAGCCTGGAAAGGGCCACCTGGCAGAGGCAGAGAGGATGGCTACCAGTATCAGCGGAACTTCAGAGGGAGGCCATACCGCAACGACAGGAGAAGGGCAACGCTGGGAGATAGTCAGAGGGGGCACCAGACATAGAATGAGTGGATAACTGAGACTGTTAAAATGCATAAAGAGATTTAAAGTAGCAGTTAAAAATCCTTGTATTTCCTTTTAGTAAAGTTCAAGATACGTTGTTTAACTTTTGGTGAGTGAAGACAAGGAGGATGTGAACTCCTACCATGTGTTTTTGGGGGGTATTATAGAGTTTGTTTGGCTTAGTAATTTTTCCTAAATGTCAAACCAGGAAAAAAATAGGTTTTTAGTGTTTGGTAAGTCTTACTTTTTCCCCCTACAAAGGTTTGAGTTTGTGATAGAAGATACATACATTTACTGGAGTGACAAATTACAGCATTTGACGTGATCTAGATTCTAAAATTGATGGTAACATTGCACCAAATAGAAATGTATATTTTATCATATAATGCCTTAGTTCTGAACTGAGCTAAAGGAATTCTCAGCCTACTGCACTGTTGTCTTTGATGCTTCCAACCCAAAGGCCTTTCATCTCAAAACCAGAAAATAATTGATCTGTCAAACTTGAATGTTTCTCTTCAGTGTGTTACACGTGTGGCAGCCAGCTAGCCCTCGGTCTTAGGTATTGTTGTATATAGTTCTTTTCATATTCATAGGGTATATTTTTGAATTTTACAAAGCATTTATTTGTTGAACTCAAAATCAAGACAGGCAGTCGAGAAGAGCTGGGTGTGAACTGATGAGAATGGCTGTTTCCACCGAGAATTCTTAACGCTGGGGTGACTAGAATGGTGCCTATCCCGACTGAATAATGACAAAGACAATAAAAATGTAGATGCTATGCATTTCCAAAATAATTCTGCACCTGTTATAATAGCAGAAGTTTTTTAATGCCACTTTAACACTAATGCACTGACAAATCCTAGGTATTTTGTGAGGAGAGATGCATAAAGGACGTTAGGTTTTTTAAGTTTGTATGATTGAGCTACTGTTCAGTATTGTTTTGTTGTTGCACTGTTGATGCAGATTCGTGTTTTGCATGTACAACTCCTTGCTGTAACTACTCTTAAAAGCAAGATGGAGTGCCTTGGTGCGCTCTGCTCTTTCCCCACCATTCAGAAGAAAGTGGCTTCTGCCTTATATTTTTACACTGTGTTGGAGTTCTGATGCTGTTTCTTCTGACCCCGATCATGATCCCTGCAGTGTTCCTGTTGCCTTTGCAGTTTGGATGTTCAGCTGTCCAGACTCAGAGAGCGCAGTGTGCAGTGTTCACTTGGCTCTGTTGCTCTGTAAGATTAACTGTTGTGTATATTTTTATATCTCTGTATATAGCAGTGTAGGTGATGGTACCTTCCATTCGTGTCCCAGATAGTATGCCCTTGAGTAGGCAACTTGAGCGATAGCGATGTGATAATTCTTTTCAGATGCATGCTATGTATAAAACCCTACTTAAAATAAATGTTTGTCTTTTCACTTTCTTTCTAAATTACATCTTTCTATTTAAGTATTTGAAACTGTTGCAGTGACATTTAATGTATAGGCTCCTAGACAGCAGCAGAACTAAACCACTGCAAGCTGTGAAAGAGGACATATATAGACTGGACTCCTAGTTCTTACTCAAAATGGTGTGGGTAAGGGCTGTGCTGTGGGTTTTTTGTTATTTTAACCTAAATACGTCTCATAAATGCACTTGGGATTTTGGAAGATGCCATCTTCAGTTTTTCAGAGGGAGACTTAAAAGGGGCTTCCTGTCATCCTTCCTGGGAGGTCCTGAAATGTAACTACAGTTGTAGCCCAAATCTACACAGCAGTCACTGGAATAATCATTCTGTGCTAGAGCAGGCATTTAATTGTGGGCTTTGTTGCAAGAATGGAGGCCATGTGCTTTCCACAGAAACCTCCTGGGAAAAGAAAGGCATGGCAGTAACCGGTAGAGCTCTGCTTTTAGAATTTACTTCTAAAAATTGACTTGGACTATTTAAGCTGTACCCGTGTCACACTGTACTCCTGTAGCACAGTTAAGGACTGAAATGTGCACATGTATCTTCTCTGCCCTCACTGCTGACACAGTAAGTACAGTTTCCTCTGATTTTGCCAAAAGACTCATGCATGGCCATACCCTTTACCCAGGCCAAGTTGGTTTAGGCTATAGGATCCCACTGGTCAGTAGTGGACTGTATGTAGTATTCAGCATGTAATGAATTGAGAGATAATGGCTTCAGCTATCTGCAGAACCACATCTTTACCTTACCCTAATTAGAACTGATTAACAGAAGATGCAGAGTTCAAGTCCAAAAGGGTTTGCATTCATCTGCATGACCTAAATGTAAGTTTTAGTTAGTGCAGAAGTTTGTCTAAACAGCTGCTGGTGGTGGTAAAGGCTGTGCTCATTACCTGTACTTCATGGAGTACCTCTGCTGCTATAGTGCAGATGGACTGGTGGTGTCAGTATGTATGTATAACCAAGGTTATAAAATAGAATGGCTTTAAAATAACAGTAAGACAAACCCCTGCCTTCTCCTCTAACTTACAGAGCAAAAACATCCATAAAGAACACCGCTGTTTTCTCTCTCATAACATTTTCCACATGCCATTGAAGGCAGAGCAGAGAACTGTTGCATGGACAACACCTTCCTTACTGTCTCCGCTAAGGACCTTGCTTCCTGTGAAAAGTTACTTGCTTCAATTTTGTCTACACCAAAGATCAAAATTCTTGCATCTTAACCATGTACAACTGTCATCTCTCCATGGGAAGCACCAACTGATGGAGGAATGAGTTGGAAAACCCAGCCATTAACCCTTCCGTACAGTGTAAGTTTAAGTTGCAGAAGAGTGAAAGGATGTTTATTTAAGACTTTAACTGATTACCCTCAGAAGGACACAGGGACAGGGAACTAAAAAAAGGCATAGATACCTTCCTTCATAACGTTTGTACTCCATCTTTTGTGTGTTCTTCACTATGGTATGAGAAAAGGTGTGCATAATGAGAACTGAAATATACACATGCTGAATTAGTGATTTAAGAATTTTTGCACTGTGTCACAGAGAGCTGTAAGTTAAGAGGATGTTTATTTTTGAAACCCTCATCCAGAGAGATTCAGCCTTTTTAAAACAGGAGTTGCTTCTCTATCTTGACATTCTTGGTAAGATTCCCTCTGGTAGAGAAAACGGCCTCAAAGATTCTTAAAATGAGGAAGTTCAGACAGTACTTGGTACGTGAGTCGGATCTATTGAATTGAAAACTTCATTCAGATTTTGAAAAATCAGGAGACTCATTTGCACAATTTCAAGGTGGTCTATTTTGAAATTATTACACTGAAAATAGGGCTGTCTCACCAAAATATAGAAAGTGGCAGTTTTACTTGGACTAGGATTTACACTGCTACTGGTCTCCGATGTTACACGCAGCAAGAGATTTTTAAGCTCCAAAAGATTTAAGTGTTCTAAAACCTGATTGAGCCTTCTCATCCAGAAATGTTTAAGATGCCAATATGCATTTCTATATGCCAGTTACAAAGATGCTCAGATCCAGTATTTAGTCATCCAGGAAAAAGTAGTTTCCGCTCTTCTTCTGTTCCACATCCTTAGGAAGAGAAAAAAGGTCAGTGTTACTTGAAGTATCTTTGGCAGATCTGAACATAGCTGAAATAAAGAGACATTTAGCTGAACGCTTTTCTACTTTCTACTGAGTTAGAAGGGACAGTAAAGATCATCTAGTTCCAACCCCCCTGCCATGGGCAGGGACACCTTCCACTAGACCTGGTTGCTCTAAGCCCTGTCCAACCTGGCCTTGAACACTGCCAGGGATGGAGCAGCCACAGCTTCTCTGGGCAACCTGTGCCACCGCCTCAACACCCTCACAGGGAAGAACTTCTTTCTAGCATCTAATCTAAATCTACCCTTTTTCAGTTTAAAGCCACTTCCCTTGTCCTATCCCCCCACATGCCCTTGTAAAAATACCCTCTCCAAATTTCCTGCAGGCCCCCTTTTCTTACTACCTGTTTCACGTGCTGTTCTCTAAACTACCATGTTAGTCTTCACTTTGTTCGTTATTTTAAGAAACTGGCTTTATATTAAATAGTCTTGGCTTCTTTATTGTAGAGGTGCTTCTCTCTTACCTTGATTGAATTGAGTTTGTTTATTCTTGGTCTGTAATTGTTGGGGTCTCTTCTAAAAGTGATTTCAAGTTGAGATAAAAACTTATTCATTCCAGCCAAAAGAGTCTGTGGACTGTTAAGAAAGAAGAACATTCCAGCTCAACTGTCAGAAGTTCTATATTACAGGTAGTTTGATCTCCACCCTGAGCTCATTAGGGTCTGGTAGCACAAGCGCGAGCTGTGTATGACAGACCATGATGTGTTACGCTTTCAGTCAAATCATATCTCAGACAAGAAGTCACAACTACTACTCTCATTCTTCAGCAGTATCTCAGTAATGTTTACTTCATGTGGCTCACATTAACTACTTGGTAATTACACTGGTCTAAAAGCTTCTAGACTGCTCCTCCCAAAGTCTCTGTAATTCACATGTAATTATTTACAGGAATGTATCAAAAGAGACAGCTTTGAAAAAGTGAAACTCATAGAGAGCGTGTGTTACATGTTGCTGTAGAGACTCGGACTTCACTTTGCAAACAGATACGTTGCCCTTAGTACACTGGTTTCTTTTAATACATCTTAAAGCTATTTTCTTAAATACAGTTTACAACTGGTGCTTTTCTTTCATTTCTTACAATGAGTGCTGCTTAATTCTGACAGAAATTTCATTGGTGTGCAGCTCCTTAAAGCTAATTTAAACCAGGAGCTGGTCAAGCTTGGGTCAACCCCATTTTCTTTTGCCTGCTTCAAAACAAAAGCCAGAACCCTTTCAACAGTCTTGGATTACTTTAAATGCAGCTTAAATTTCCATGGGCAGGGATGTTTCACCTTATTTTTGTTGATGCTCCCAATAAACCATTTATTCCTGCCTTGTCCTTCTTGTCTTGCTTACTAATGCAAAGAAACCTCTTACCTGTTGGCAAGTGTGTTCTTGGAAGGAATACCATCAAAAACAATCACGCGATC